TTATCCTTCTGTGCTTCTTCCCTTCCTTCTCTGTTTCCGTGTTTACTTCTCTAGCTCCTCGTTTCCTTCCCTAAACAAACAGGACCCAGCATGTAAACAGTGGAGAACAAACACAGGTAACGCCTCATAAATGAGTACCTCAGCTCCTGTGTATCCCTCCGCTGCCAGCCTGTAGTATAAATTGTTTATTTCTGGATCTCTGTGTAAAAAAACTCCGAAAAACTTCACCAACAGACTTTCTGTTAGTGAGCTTCCTGCTGTTTGCTAACGCTAGCTGCCCAATCACTCGCCAAAGCACCGGTAACGTGACGCAGCAGAAACTGTCGCCAGCTCCGCGATATGATCTCCGGCTGCCGGACGGTCACACCGAGGCGTTTTATGGGAGTTTAATCCGGTAAAAACAAACAAAAAAAACCAGAAATAAAACTGCTCAGTGTTTCTACTCACCGCTGCCCCGGATCTACTTCCTCAGCAAGCTGTTGCTTATGATAAATCCCTCCCCCTCTCTAGCTCTAAACCAATGAGCGTTCGGAAAGCGGCCTACCAGTTATACACTAGCATTGTAGCATCTGCGGCATTCAAGTTCTCTCGGAAATGAAAGACATAAGAATGCTATGCACGAATTTTTAGTTGAGTAGGGCCTCTTTATCAAAAGGCTCGTCATCGTTTCAAGTATCAGTCTGTATAAACATGTTTTTGGTCAAATGATGATGAATTCATAATCAACTTCACGTGTGTAATTTATTGCCAAATGCCAAAATGTTTAAAATAACATTTTTATTTTTAATATAACATCAGTCAGTTAAAGACTACAACCTTCTAAATATCGGATATACGCTGTACGTCATTAACTTCGCTGTATTAGTTGATAGAGTTCGGATTGAGGACTTTAAAATGAGACCTTGGACGTAGCACGTTGATCGTTCCTCGCCTCCTGATTGGTCCGTTGCTCTTCGTGTCTCGGGACGCGTCCGCTTTATAGAGTCACCTTGCTGCTCTTGCTGCCGCCGCTGCGACGGGGAGAAAGCAGGCGGAAAGCTCGGCCCAAAGGCACACAGGCAGGCGGGCGGCAGAAATCTGAACGCAGACTCTGCGGCCACTGACCGATCGGGGGAAACATGGCGGATGCGAAGCCCAAGACCTCCCCGAAGGCCATCAAGTTCCTGTTCGGGGGTCTGGCTGGGTAAGTGATGCGGCTAGCTGCCATGCTATCGCGCTAATGTCAGGGGTCAGAGGAGAGCTCTGGTCAGATTGAACCCGCTCTGTGTCAAACCTCTGTGCGGTTTAAAGGACAGCACGGAGGCCGTTACTGCGGCGCGGCGACACGCTGATGGTTAGCTGTTAGCAGCTGATGCTGGCTGTCACAGGACGGGCTGCACCCCGATAACTCCGCGGGGACGTTTTTCATCAGCACACCGGTGTCATGACGAAATCTGGGCACCTGTCTGCATGTGTTAGCTAGCCATGTTCGAGTAGAGCTTCCTGCACCTTTTTTCTCACCAGAACACATTTAAACATGCAAACTCGTAAAAGTCCTGCAAATGTTCCGCTTGTATCCCCGGGAAATTATTAGTTAAAACCTCCCGCCTGGGCTTTACAACGAGGAGTGCTAGCAGGCTAACGCTGGGTTAACAGCGAAGCTTCCCTATGGTAAACTCTGACAGCAGATAAGGGGAGGTGGCACCAGTCAGGGGGACCTGACGTCGGCTCCCCGGTCTGAGCTCGGCACTAGCCGGGATGGATGACAGCTTTATGACCATGATGATGATGTAACCTGGTTTAGAGTCCTCTAAACTCTGAAATCAGGTTCAGTTAAACTCTGATCCATGTTCATCACAAAACATTTACAAATTTAATCATGAATCATAAAAGTCAGGGTTCATTAAGCCAATTAATAATTTGATGAATGAATTAAAATTATAATCTCAATAATTACCTCATACTGCGCCTCAGTGATTGGATGCCCCTCACTCAACAGGCTGCGTGGCTGTCTCTGACATCATACTGATCCAAAAATAGAAAAAAAAAAGATCAACTGAACAATTTGACCTTTTGGCTCACAGGGATTAGTGAACGTATGCTGACATGAAGGTTCACATGAGTGTATGAGAGGAAATATGGAGAACATGTCTTAAACTGAATGTTTACTTGTGTGTGTGTGTGTCAGGTTACCTTAGCAGGCGTAGCAGGTTAAACAGCCTCATAATAAACAGTTGAAGGTCACAAAATATTGACAGTATGGCTGCTTCTTACAAACTCAGTGAGATGTTGTCAACAGTTGACTTTATTTCAAACCTGCACACCTTTTTTTCATATATATACATCTCAGAAACTCTAAAAGTTAAAAATAATGGCATGACTAAATATTAGAGCTGTAGCTTTGCAGATTAGGCCTTACTTCATTTATATTTTAATCCATATTTGGTGTGAATCAGAGATAATTTAGAGGTATTTCTGCACCATCTCTAATTTTACAGTTTGTAATTTGTCATTCGTCAGGATC